ATTCTCCTCAGCAGCCTGTACTTGTACACCCTCAATCTGTAATCTTTCTTCAGTGTGAGAGACCCAGTATGACTAGAGATAATATTGTGTTGTGTAGATTTATTTTATTTTTATATATTTATTTTTTAGATTTCAGATGGGAAGGTAAAAGATTCTGAGCCATATATCAGCAAGCATTCCTGATCTTAAGTTCTTCATGATTGCAGCATATTTCCAATACAGAACCCTATTGGTTCTGAGTATGGTTTCTTTACTGAAGATAGAGATATCTTCTAAAGATCTTTTGTCTTTAAGAGGAATTTTGTAATTATGTCGTGTTTTCAGGAGCTGAAAGGGGGTCGGTCATTCCAGAAGCTGGGCTTCACAGACCTAAACCTGGCTGAGTTTGCAGGATCAGGTCAAACAACTCGACGCTGCCTATTAGAGGGGTATGACACAAGGCATCGACAAGATAATTCCATGCTCACAGTAGCTATTCATATGAATATGCTCTCTGGTGACATCCTTTTCAAAGTGTGAGTTTCTCTTTGATAATTTACTTGTAAAATACACATTTAATAATTTACTGAACTGTCAGTATGTGAATACAAGTGTCAACAAATGTTGGCTCAGTTCCCCAGTCAGATAAAGATTCCACTTGTCGCACATTTCTCTACAAGAGAAGCCATTCATACCCATGCTATTATTATTGTCCCAGATCAGTTACTGACCATCATACAACATACAGTACATATAAGAAATGTAATTTACTCGTCAGGTTTATTGTGTGATGCTGTGAAGAAACAAAAAAGAATTGGAGAGACCACTGATGAATACGTTTTAAAAATTTTACACTGATCAGCTTTGACATTTCATTGTCATTCTACAAGTGGGTTTATTGGGCCCGATATATGTGTGTTTGTGTTGTATATATGCAGCCAATTATATGTTGGTGGCCCAGTAAGTATACCATGAACATATATACCATACACAGTGCAGATCTGTTGTGGCCTGTATGATGAGGTTACTGGTTTGGAAACTTTGAAGAGTTTCATTAAAATGCAGTCTCTTGTCCCATAGTATAGCAGGATCTCACTGTAATAACTTTAATATAATAATTAAAGGAAATGATACAGAGATATACAATTTTAGTCTTAGCCAGGGATCAGTAATGTTTTCCTCTGGCTTGCCTCTTTGTATTCCATTTTAAAATGTAATCCTCTGTGTGTGGACATTGCTCTTCTGATTTAACATGTCTTGTATTTATGTGTAGTACTAAATATACTGCTTCACATGTTCACAAACATATCGTAATGTCCACCAAAGAAATACAAAATGCATGTCTCAAGAAGCTGTTCTAAAGAAGTATTTTCTATGAAAATTAAGACAGCTGATGACAGAATATTATCGCAGAATCAGTGCTACCTGCAACCAGCATAAACTTCACGGTGTTTGTACACTATGCAGAGCCATAACAGTTTTTTTCTATAGAGAGAGTTCTATTCTAGGCTAATCTTAGTACCCCTCTGATAATTGCATACGTTAGTTAAAGGAAAATAGCATATTAGGAACAGAAAACCCATTAATTATAAAGTTCATTGCTTTCAAAATGTTGCTGTCTTGATTTTGCTTGGGAAAAAGGTGTACTGCCCCTTCAGTGTATTATTTGAACAGATTCGAAAATGCAGAGGTTTCGAGAATCATATAACATGAATGTATTCATTCTCAGTGTGAAGAGAAAAATAACAAATTGGAAATGAATGCTTGCCCAGCAGGATCACTAGATAGGAATGTGTGTATATGGGATGGGTACTGAAGAAGTACAAGTACTTGAGCTCTGAAAGAAATTAATTATAAATGCTTACAGTTTCTGTGGCAGAAATTGTATGTCTATACCACATACACTTTAGAGTTCTTAGTATTGGGTGGTGAATTGCATGTAGTGGTATAAATGTGTTGGATTGGGACTTGAGTTGTTGTATACACAATAGTAATTTGTAAAACGTTCAGAAATAAAACTAAATGTGTATATAGTAATGATTTCGAGGCAGGAACTAATTATAATGGGGGAATGCAGTAGTGTAGATGGTTGAGGCAATACGGTACAAGTGGATTCGAGTCCTGAATCCTTCCAGCCGCACTGTGGCCCTGGGTTTGACTCAGCCTCTAACAGAAATGAGTACCAAGAATCCTCCTGGGGGGTAAAGGGCAGCTGGGGTGTAAAGCTGACAACCTTACCACCATCTGTGAGCTGATTGTTAAGAGAAAGTGTGGGAGCCTCGATGTCTCACAGCCCTGTGGGCATTCATGGCCTGTTATAGGGATAACGTTACCATTACCTAACTAATTATAATTCTCAGAATTTTGGTTTTAAAATTATGGGTATGTCATAATATACATAGCTACATATAATTTATACAGCTTGCTCTCTCTTTCTCTAGTCCTTCTCCTTCTTCAAAACATAAGCAGGTGACAGCCCAAGAGGAAGGACCAGAGTGTCGTGATGAGTTCTCCAGTGGCTCTCTTGCTGGATCTTTAGCCAGCGGTAGTTCTGGGTTTGGCAGTTTACCCAAGAAGAGGCCACCCTTATTTACTTCAGGTATGTCCTTCCTAACCTTGCCACCATCTTTGAGCCGATTGTCTAGAAAATGTGGGGACCTTAACATCTCACAACCCTATGTACCTCCACGGCCTGTTACAGGGATACGTTTACTTCTTTTTGTCCTTCCTAACGGTTTTATTCTCCTGCCTTTTACATTTATCTTTTCTTAGGATCCAGTCACCAGCCAAATTGCTGGTATGTCTGACTGGCACAGCACTGGCTTCTGAAGAAGTGGAAGCAGGCTTATTTATTCTTAGCTGACTACTGACTGAAATCTGTATCATTTTGTCAGTCTTATCTTCAAGACAGAAAACTTTCCCAAATGTTCACAGAGTGAGTCAATATATTGATAGTTCATTACATCTAAGGAACAGATTCAAATTGGTTGGAATGGTGAGAAGCCGAGTAGTTACAGCTTTTATATAGGATATGCAGAATCTTAATTTGATGTTCTATGTATGCATATGAATCTTACTAGTAGGATGATCAGATCAAGAAGGATGAGATGATGGGTCATGTAGCATGGTTGGGAAAAATTAAAAATTCCTACAGAATTCTAGTCAGAAAACCTGAAGGCAAAAGACCACTTTGGAGATGCAGGCATAGATGAGATAATAATATTGAAATGATTCTTACAGAAATAGGGTATGAAAGTGTAGCCTGGGTTCATGTGGCTCAGAGTAGAGTTCAGTGGTGGGCTCTTCTCAACATGGAAAATAACTTTTAGAACTTTAGAACCATATAAGGCTGCAAATTTTTTATTGGCTGAATGATTATGAGCATCTCAAGAAAGACTAAGCCCCATGTAATTAGTTGCTACATGAGTTTCCTTGTTTCGTATTAGTATTGTAATGGATGCTTTACATGAAGACCTACATACATTTCTCCCCATATCTGAGGTATGACCCTCTAAATGTTTGTCAGGGCGAAAAAAAAAACATTTTAGACAAATGTTGTAGGGAAAAAATGGCTCCTTTACATGTATGTATGTGAGTGTGCATGTGCGCACTCACCCAGTGTTTTTTTTTTAATTAATTCTTATACTTCTCAAGAGAATGAAACTAAAGGACTGATTTCTATCAAATTTCCTGTTGAAAATCAGTGCACACATGCAGGTACATCAATCCCTCAGATTTCACAGAGTCAGTAAAACAGAAGTGGTCCTTTGCATAAGAGTCTAAATATGGATTTTTAGGTCATACATTTGTGTACAATATGCATGTTTCCATTCTTCTAACATACAAAAACTTTATTTCATTATATTTCATGCAAAGTAATAATGGGAGACATAGATAGGTAAAATAGTAAAAGTTTTCATGGCAAAACCTGGAAAGTCATGATGTTTTCCATTGTAATAGCCAGATGAACATAGTTAATGAGAATTTACCTAAATATTATTGCAGGGTCTGTCATGTTGCCTTATGGCTGAAAACAGTAACTGCTTGTTGGGCGACATAGGTACCTTTGGATTTAAAATATTCAAAATTCCATTGTATAGGTGAAGGAATGTCATTATTTTTATTTTGTTTACAACCATCTTTCCATTAAAGCTTATGGTAGATGCAAGGCTGACGTCTTTGTAGCCTCTTTTGATACAGTGCACTACATTCTGTTAGGATTCAGAGTTAACATTCATAAACTGAAAATCTGAGCGCACACCAGAAATTTTACACTGAGTGTGCATTTCTAACTTTAATTGATACCACTGGGTTAAAATCCAGCTGCTGTTACTGTAGTACCAGGGGATTAGAATGTCCTGTTCTCAGTGATAACAGTTATTAAAGTGTAACTACATGCAAGTAAAAATAAAACTACTCATAAGTTATCCATTTGTCATAAGCACCATGTCATACCAGGAAGTGAAGTGTGAATTGTTTCATGTTATGGCGTTACTCAAAGGAGGAGGGTTCCCTATTTGAGGTGAATTAAGTGTAAGGAACCACTTCCAGTGTGCTTCACAGCACATATAAAAGTACCAAAGTGTGATAGTATGCACAACATTAAATGTCATCTGCTTTGGCTTTTTCTTTGTTAATTTATTTAACTGTGCTATTTCAACAGTCTGGTATATGTTATATTCACTGGTAGGATGAGTTGATACTAATGAATCTGGAAAGGATGTAGTTAGTTAGTTAGTTAGTTATTGGAGAGGGTGGGTTTCCCCATGCACCGCAACCAGTTTGATCTATTGTGCTTCCCTCTATGATATTCTACCAGTCCCTATACCCTACCAATATTGGTGCGTACTATCAGTCCTGACCGAGCAAGCGAGTTCGGCCTCTACTTGCTTGGCGGTATCTATAATGGCTCCCCCATCTATCAGAGGCATTAGAGACCATTGTTGAGCGGGAAACGTCCTTGAATTTGGCTCAGTGACCTCCTTTGGAGATATGAGGTACTTTTACATGCCGTAAAGCTACGACATGGGACCCACGGCTTAAAGTCCCTCCCAGAGGACTTGTTCCCTGAATTTTTCCGCCCTTAAAAATTCCACGACCTCCGCCGGGTTTGAACCCGCGTACCACAAGTCATGAAGTGGGAGTGTTACCTCTAGACTACGGAGGCCGCTTGGAAAGGATGTAGGAAGTGGCCAGACATATTTATTGTAGTATACTGACATTTGCCTGGTAGGACTGAGGAAGACCACATGAATTCTCATATAGGTGGCCTCTGGGATAAAATTTGGACATGGGTCCTTCGACATATGAAACAGAAGTAGTGACTACTCCATCACAGTGTTCAGTACTTAGTTCTGTATATTGATATATGACAATTTTATTTGGACAGAACTAGTGACTGGAGCTGTGCAGGATACGTTGGACCCTGCAGAAGCTGCTGGTGAGACAGATGAGGGTCATGAACCAGGACATTCACGTAACTCTTCCAACACCAGTCAGATGAGCAAAGCATCAGGTTACAGTTCCCTCAACAGCCAGTCACAGCATAGTAGGCAGAGCAGCTCTGGGGATTCAGGACATATCAGGTGAGGACACGAGTAGTGCACTCCAAGCTGAGTGAATACTATGGAACTATACTAAGTTCAGGGGAACAGATGCATTTGCAAATAGTCCCCTTGTGAGTGTGATGGAAGCTTATTTGCCATATTATCCCAGCTGGCTTTGTAATCAGCTGAGAATATATAGTTTGAGACTGAAATGTCATGTTCTTGAAAGTTGTCTTTAGAAGTTATTCCGATATTATGCACCATACCAGATAATTGTTATATTGAAACAAAGACCATGGAGACTGACTGGTCAAGTGGGATTTGTGGTGGACAAAGTGGCACTGGGGCGGGTTTTCTCCGAGTACTTCAGTTTTCCCCTGCCAATCTTCTTTCCACCAAATTCTCCATCATCATAATCACCCGGGGCAGGCTACAATAGGCCAATCAGTGGCCGCTGTGCCGATTGTACCCAGTTGGACTCCACCCCCCACTAATTGAATTAAAAAAAAAAGACCACATAGCAATACCCACTTTCTAAAACAATTTCAAAAATCCTTTTGTTAATTTTTTTTGGTTTCTTCATTTGTGGTCTGTTTGTTGTGTGACCATACCTGGTTTTATATTGTGGAAGTTATCTGTATACAATTTCTTTATTAAAACCATCACAACACAACTATATCAAGGTCAGTGCCTAGTTTGGCTCTGGTGTATCTGTATACACCATTTCATTATTTGGCGACCATTTATTACGTTACACAATCACCATTCAGCCCCTTTTTAATAAATAATAGAACATTGAAGATCTTCATTGTAAATAACCAGTTTCATAAAAAATGCCATGGAAAAGGGATGAATGGTTTTGCTGTTATTCATATATGAGTATGTCTCCCACCTCTGTTTTCAGTCAGCAAATTTGGATTACTTACATTTGATTGCAGTTTGTGCTTAATTTGTACATATTTTAGTAAATGTGATAGGAGAGGAAAACATATATTTACAGTTTATGGTATAAGAATATTGATAACTAAATTCAAGGTAAACATAATCTGAAGTAGTTCAGCAAACTTATTTATGTATGAATCCAAGGTAGTTGTGAGTGTAGGTTGTGAATACAATGCCTTGAATTCAGGTAAATTTTATTTTAATTATACTGCCTGAATTAAACAGGACAACCAATATTTGTGTCATTTAGTAAATACAAAGGCCAGGTTCTGAAGTTTAATTGCTTTTAGTCTTCATATTGGTTTCAAAATAGTACTTGGAATATATCACCTAGAAATTCCCCCTCATTCCTTCCACTTTCACACAGTTGTCATCTGATAGCAAATTCAAGATCATCAAAAGAGGAGTTTGTTTGTAGTGTAAAGAAAGAAAGAGATGATAATGTAGCTATATTTTAAAATCTTTAATTGATCTCATGATTATATTGAAAATAGATAATATTGACTTTTAGTGCTTCTGCTTTAGGTGCTGAGTACTATTTTGTTGTTCCTCTGTACAGTGCTGTTCATGAAGCATTTATGAAAGTTTTTTAAAAATTTTGTGTTGGATGAAAATTTGTCTCCATAAATTATGCAAAGTACATAACATACATAATGTGTCCTCTTGTTTGTAAATAAAATGTTTATATATATATATCATCAGGGAAAATGTGTTCAAAAAGAGGATAATGCAGGAGAACACTGAAGAAGCGGTGAATACATGACTTGTCAATTTCTTACATTTCTGCCACCTTGGATGAAATTTAAGACATATGTAATATATTTTGAGGAACCATGACATTTATTTTACAACTTCAAATACGAAATTTGGCAACTTTTGGTTATACTTACAGATTTGTTTTTTCATACCACATGATCAGTATAATTCAGTCAAAGAAGTCAGAGAAAAATATCAATCTGAAGGTGAAATTGATATATATACAGTTAATATTCCTGGTTTTGAAACAGCCTGATTGCTTGTAATTACATAAATTTGTCTTTATGAGAGACATGAAGTTGTGAGTATGATACGTCCCTTTATGGACACATTATGCTTGCAGCCTGATACGCATGTCTTCAGCATGTATGCAGTATCTGTGCATAAACATTGTGAGTGCGTGATGATTTCTGGAACAGTGTGCCCTTGTGTAATACAGGGTGTTCAGTCATCGAGGAAACTGGGGAAGTAGCATGAGTCGGATACAATATTTCTCACAGATTTCTGCTGTAACTGCTGATGGTGGAAAGAGTCATCAGCGCTGATAAATGCGCACACTCTCACTAGCGTAAAGCGGATGGATCATTTCCCCGTGACTATTCCCTCACATCAGTTTCTGTACAAGCACACATTTATAAGAATACCATAAAAAGTTAACACAGACTTACCTTGCTTTATAACAGGTGCTGAAAGTGACCCCCTTCTCCTTGCAAACATGCCTTGCATCGCATAAATAAATTATGCGACACTTTCTGAAGTTGTACCATGGTAATTGAACTAATTACACATGTTATTTCATTCTGTTAATTTATATGGGTGAAATTTGATTAATTTTGTGGCTGTGTAAGCAGATCCTAGTGAAACACCAGTTTTCTATGCTAAGTGTCTTAACGATTTTCGAGGACTGTTCTGTAGTCATGCCACAATATCCCAAACTTTTTCTGATTAATTTTGTGGCTGTGTAAGCAGATCCTAGCGAAACACCAGTTTTCTGTGCTAAATGTCTTAACAATTTTCAAGGACTGATCTGTAGTCATGCCACAATATCCCGAACATTTTCTTCAGTTAGCACAATCCTCTTCAATTGCTTCTTTATGTCACACACTGAACCTGTGGCCTGCCACTTTTTCACAAGCTTGGATACACGTGACTTTGTGGAAACTGGGGTGTCAGGATATTTATGATGAAACTTACTGATACATTTTCTGTAAGATTTTTTTTCCTTGGAAAAATTCTGACAATAAACACACGCTGTTCAGTAGTGAACTTCATTTCAGTATAAATGTTGACCGCCTATTGAAATCTCTAACACAGACTTACTATTACTGTGACTTAAGTGCACACGCCAACTGACCGTGTGCGTTTATCAGTGCTAATGACTCATTCTGCTATCGGGAGTTACAGCAGCAATCTGTGAGGAATTTTGGGTGTGGTCAGCAGCGTAGCGAAGTTTCCTCATTCCTTGAACGCAGTGTATATGGCTCTTCCTCCATGAAGTACTTCATTCATGTTATGTATATGTTGTATATTGTTGACTTTATAAATAATATATCAGTTTAGTGGTGAGATTACTGGCATGGCATGTATTATGTCTGAATTTATTTTGGCATTGCTTTGCAGAATGGCTTGTACATTTTCAGGCTTTGTCAGCTGTGTTGTACATATGGCAGAGATCATATTTGATTTGCATTAGACATCTAGAATCAAGTTGGATTATTCTAAAATGAAGTATTATACCCATTTTATATTTATTATGAATCATAAATTGAGAAAAGGACCAGGACTGTGTGAGTAATAAGTATATACTAGAACAGTGTCATTTGGATAAAGTCAAAGTGAAAAATGAAGTTGTCTGTATGCTTCATTAAGCATCACATCTTGTAGATGCAATTGAGAATTCAGATGAAGCTCCATGTGTTCTCCTTGACACTAAACTGAGCTTAGATGTCATTGTAATGATCCAGTAATTAAGCCCCAGGGAAAGAGTTCCCAGTACCATTTTGGATGAGGCTGTTTGGGCCCAACAGTTGATTTTGATATGTTGGTGAAGAGAAGATTACTTGGCTCTGCCAGGAATGAAATCCCAGGGCCAAGACTATAGCCAGTCTCTATGCTGACAGAGCTATCCTGGCTTTGAAATAGTGCCAATTAGAAAAAAATATAAATTTAAGCAAGGAACTGTAAAATTTAATCCAAAATTCTCATTCAAATTTCATGATGCACATTATCAGATAGTTTTATAGTCTTTTACAAAAGTTGAAAATATTCAGTATGTACTGTTGTAGTGAGTGTTTCTAGTTGTTCTGAAATGAAGACAGACTTCAAGGGCAGAATAAAAATTAATACCTGTGAATTACAGGGAAGTGTAATAATATTGTAGTTACTCAAGTGTTTCTTCATTACATGTGATATGTAGGATGTTTCATGACTTTATGTCATAACATCTGGAAATTATTCCTGAGATAATTCTGTGTAAAAATGTTATATTAACATGGGTAGAAGTCTCAGTGGCTACAGAGCTATGGGTAGGGAGAGTTAAGATGTTCTGAATGTGACAAGCATGTTTATTGTAACAAAACTGGTACTTAATGGCCGTACATGTGTCCACCTTGCATTCATAAACAGGACTTTTTGTGTACCCCCACGCATGGAAGTAAGTGGGGTTGATATCAGGTGATGGTAGTGGTGTGGAGTCAGTTCAACAACCAGGAAAGGACTGAATTAGTTTCTGCATCATATGAAGTTAAAGGTTGCAGTATTGGATGTCCAAAGTATGTAGGATCATGTACAATCGTTAAGTATCATGTCTTGTTACAATAAATAACTTTGTCTTATTCAGATCATCTTAACCTCCTCTACCCATAGCCCTCTATCCACTGAGATTTGTACCTTTGTTCATATAATATTCTTCACTCTAAGTGGCCTCATAAATAACCTCCTTACATTAGACATAAAGTTGTGAGGCACCTTTATTGTAGTGTTTACATACTCATTTCTGCTTTGCATATAAGTTATTGTTTGATATTCTTATTCTGCTGCATTATGTATACAGAGTGTCCCTTAAAAATGTATACATCCTCTTAACATTCATAATACTTCTAAAAGAACAGGTAGTGAGAGGATAGTACTGATATACCCTGTTTCATCCTATTGGCAGGACTTTGAAATTTGAGCAATGTAAGTGCCATCTTAAGTTCTGCTGGAAAGCTGAGGATATGAAAGGGACACAAAGCCATAAAATTGAATTTGAAACCAACCCTAAATATATTTAGCAAATTTTAAGTTGTGTGAGACATGTGAGACAGGTGCAGAACTGCAGGATGTACATAAAGAGATGATCAGGAAGCTCTTTTGAGTCACTTAATGTAAAGTTCATGGTAAGTGTTGCAGGTTTTTGCAGAGTTGCTTAGAAAGTCCCTTAAGATGCTTCTTTTGAGGCTTAAAACTAATGTTGATGGCATTCTGCTTGCTGTGCTGTATTCCACAAGTGAGGATAATATAGTTTTAATTATGTGGATAGTATTTATGCACATGCAATAAAAATGAGTCTTTATAGATTTAATTGTTTGACTGATGAAGATAGTTCAATAATAGTATTATTAGCCAGCATAATCATACTGGCCAAGATAATCCACACATGACAGTAAGTGAAGCACTGTACCAAGTATAACAGCAAACTTTAGTCTGTCTTCCAGAGGAATTACTGTACCTTTTTTTTTTTTTAAATAACTGTTACTGAAATTTCATGACTATGGATGTTTCAGGAGAACATTATGTAGTGCATTAATGAAATGTACACCAAAGAATGCTTACTTTTGGCGAGGTAAAATTTCAGCACATTACCGAAACAGTGTGAGAGACTTTTTAAATACCCATTTACCTGGAAGATAGGGTGTAGCAGGAATTTGAAATATCTGCCCTGATTTCCTAACCTATGGCAACTAGATTTTTACTTATGGGAAGTATGTGCCTGTGTGCCAGAAAGCCCAGTGGACGAGCTGAAGACTTGAGATTGAATTTGTCTGTATGTCTGTTTCTCCAGTAGTATGCCTACAAGTTGGTCTGTCTACCATACCTCACTGTCAGCAGAGTATCTGTTGTTTGTGGGCATTTTGAACATTTCACAATAGTAGACATTTTGCCTTTTTAGTTTTAAGGAATAATGAATAAAGTAAATACATTTTTGGTACACTCTGTAGTTGTGATCATGGATTTAATTTATTGCACAGATTTGCGTTTAAATATTTTAATGTGGTTTTTGAGCATGATCACAACACAAATGATTGTTTATTGCATGAACCAAATTCATCCATTGCATTTGATTGTTTTTTTTCTCTCTTCTCTCTGTCACTCTCTATGTGGGCTTAATAGGTCTCCATCTTGGCCAGTGTGGATGCCTCAGTTACCCCCCATTCTTTCTCCCACTACCCACAGAGCTGACCCTACCTCACCCACCACATTTGTCATGGATACCTCCTGGAGTCGATTCTGGTCATGCAAGAGTCCCATGACTTCTCGATCAAAACAGAATAATGTAGGTGACTCATCTTTGAGGAGTCTCATATCCCCTTCAGTGGCAGATGGGTTCCTGAAGCTTCCTCCTCCAGCATTTTATGCTAACCACTCTTCTGCCAGGGGCACTGTAACTCCCTCCATTACAGCTCCTGCTTATATACCATCAGGAAATCCACTTCACTTCCCACCCTGGGGTTCACCTCTCATTACTCCTCATGCATCCTCCTCCCCAGGCATGCTCCATCAACACAGCCCTAGCTCCCCAAGAGGCAGTCCAGCAGATGCATTCTTCAGCAACAACCATACACACAGGTAGGGGTCATGATTGGACAGTCATATTTTGTGATAATTTTTTGTTGCTGTGTGGTTGGTATTTGTGTTGTGCTTGCTTTGGTATCTTTAAGATGGGGAGGCCTTTGAAACAGGAGTATGCTGCTAGTACAGCAACTTATTTGTACAACCAAGTCCACATGCTTTGATATCTTTAAAATGGGGAGGCCTTTGAAACAGGAGTATGGTACTAGTACAACCAACTTCACTAATAAATAAATAAAGTGAAGTCAATTTTGTGAAGGAAGAATTTATTAATGTTAGAAAAATAAAATAAATATTATAAAAAGTTAAGCCACTGTATCAGTTTTTTACATTTACCATTAGTACGTGTTGTCAGAATAGTACCGTCACAGCTGTTTCCTCTGGCACAATGAAAAGGGATGTTGTTATTGGCAGTTGGTGTACAAAAATGGATCTGATTAAGTGAATGAACAGGATCCATGTACACATATTTGGTGTGCCATGAAGCCTGTGGATTCATGATTTCTGAAGAATCAGTTGTAAAATAAGAAAACTTCTTGTTTATTTTATGTCACTGGTCTTCCTACCAGTCAGTGCTATATAGTCTGACCTCCAGACAGTGCCATTAAATAAACCACAAATATGACAATAAAATTGTTATTTTATATAACTGAATTGTATTTAATATAGATTCCAGTGCACCTCTGTGATTTTATAACATTTCAACATCCTGATAAGTTTATTGTTGTTGACAGTCACCTTGTATAACTGATTGTATGATTAAAATGCCACACACTTTATTAACATCAGAACATAGTACTTTGTAAGTAAAGGTAAGGTAAGGCAAAAGGTTTGTAGGGTTGTGAGTTGTCGAGACTCCCACATTTCCTAGACAGCCGGCTCACAGATGGTGATGAGGTTGTGGACCTTGTGCTCCAGCCACCCTTTACTCTCAGGAAGATTCCTGGTACTCATTTCTGTTAAGAGGCTTAGTCAACCCCAGAGCCATAGTGCGGCTGACCTGATTAGGTCAATTGAAAAATCCATGACCTCATCAAGAATCAAACCTGCAACCTTCTGGCTTGTAGCACAGCACCTCAACCACCTACAGTACTGTGTGCCCCTGCATTTTTATTCTCTTGATTTTCATTGTACTTGTAGAAATTAAATATGAATTATTTCTTCATATTCTGCTTATTTCCCTCTCATTGGAGATATTTGTTTGCTTTCTGTGTATAATGGCCAACCCATAAAATTAATGAGCATAAATATTTTGTTATGTCCAATTTCATATACTGGAAGCATTCTTAATGTGTATCACAGTGCTCTAACTCAGCAACAGTTGATTCATAACTATGAAGTGACCAGTTTGAGTGGTTTATGCTGGTATGAAGCCTTATGTGTTGATCAAAAAGCCAAGTAAAACTGTCTGAAAATGTTGTTCCTGGCTGTTTCATAATTATCAATGTCATCTCAGCGTTGTATTTGGGAGCTGCATTCTTTTGCCTCTTTCGAAAGCTACAGTTTGATGTGAATGTAAGAAACTTGTGTTGATCTTTGCTTGAACATGTACTACTATGAAATATTTCCCATTGTACAATTTTTATTTTAAAAATTTTAATTCCTGTCATAAATGTATGGTTCCAGCTTAATTTTATTCATGCATTTCAAATGTATCCAATATAGTATGGCCTCAAATTTCTTCGCTCTCCAAATCGATCCTAGTGGGTTTCCAATATAGTGTGTAGGAAATTGACTGAGAAGGGAAATTGAATCAGTTGTGGTCTACACTTGACGACTGAGTGCCAGAGTGTTTAGAGACATGGGAGTTGAACACTAGTGGTTGGCTTACAGGAGTGTGATGTCACAGCATCGGAAGTTATTTGAAAGCAACTCGAAACTGCCAACTGTGGCAATCAGCCCTGATGACCAACCAGAGGAGAGTGACTGTTTGACTCTGACAACGGCAGTCATGCATCGCAGAAGCAGTACAGTGTTAGTGTACATCTGTCATGCCTGTTGTATGTGGTGTGTGCAGTTGGTGTTGTGTAATTGTATCATTGCTTGTTGCATAAATATTGTTTTGCTCAGCAACTTTGTGTTATATTCTTTCTTGCTGTTGCCTTTTGTGATGTTACAGTATGTTTTTGTATGATTGATTTTATTTTATGTTGTCTTATCTTGTCCCCATAAGCATTTGACTTCCAACGTAGTTGATATGCCATTAAGCAGCATTTTTATTTCTTAAACATTAATCAGGCAATTTGGAAGGTTCACAGTTGTATAAATGCAATTATGTCTTGGGTAATCAGCCACATCCATATATAGTAAAAGTCTTGCATTTTGTAGATTGTGTCTTCCTCCATCATCAGTGTCTGATGATACAGGGTGAGACAGTCTCCAAGATGTCAGACCTTTAGTCTGTATTCAGTGCAGCCTGGCTTGTGCACCTTCAGCTGTTCAGGCCACTAGGCAAACTAAGTTTCTCATAATGCTGATTAGAACATTCTTCTTATTTTATTACTACTAGTACATGACCAAGAGCTGGGATAACACAGTCCATATAGCAACTAGCTATGGGCTGGACTACCAAGGGGTCAGAGTTCAAGTCCTGGTGGAGGCAAGAATTTTCACTTCTGCGTGTTGTCTAGGCTGGCTCTTGGGTCCACCCAGCTTCCTATCCAATGGGTACCGGGGGTAAAGCGGCCGGGGTGTGAAGCTCACCACTCACCTCCAACTAGTTCCAAGGTCAAGAAAATGTCAGCCTATACATCCACTCCCCCATACGTCTTCATGGCATAGTGCTTAATTAGTTAAGCACAGGGACAACTTTACCTGACACAGATGATGGGCAAAATATTTTTTTTTCCTTTTCTTTATCTCCACTATATCCTTAGCTCCTTCCCTCCTTTCCCCCATATTACTTTACCATATCTCATATTTGCCCATAAAGTCATCATTCCTCCCCTCCCCCCTCTTCCTCCATCTTTGTCACGTCACCTGCATTTCTGTTCCTTTATGTCCTTCCATCCTATTTCCTATATACCTTTCTCAGCTCCTTTATTAGTCCATCCAATTGTCATTTCTGTCCCCATAATTTAGCAATGGTATGTTGGACTTTTGTTGAGCATGAAAGGAATTGGCTGTTGTAGATGTTTCATTTGTCCTTTTGTTAATAAAATGGAGCATATTTTTCATCAGATGCTTTTTTTTTATTTTGGCTCCTACTTTTTGGAGGTGGCTCTTAGATTTATGGGAAATTTATGTAGGCCTGGATGTGGCATAGCACCAAAAAAGACTTAATTGCATTTAGTCATCATGATGACTTAGGAGTTTATGTAATTTGTGTAAATATTGTGTCCTTATTTCTTATAGTTATTCTGATGAATGCAATTCTTATGAAAATGTAGCATGTGTGCATCAGTTTAATATGCTGCTCATGATCACTCTTGTCACAAAGTGGTGTACATCTGTTAATGATGCAAGATTTAAATTTACTCAGCACTCAGGAGATAAAACCTTTTTTCTTTTGGTACCTCAGTTGTTGAAACTCAGTTGTTATCTCCTGTCTTACTTTGCAATTTTGAAAGTTTTTTTTCACAAAATTCAAAGATGTTTTGTTAAAATTGGAAGGTATGATTTGTAAAACTGTAAATATCAACTTCTAAAAAAAATGTAATTTTAGATAAGGTGATGTTATTTTAGTGACACAATTTAAAGTTAAAAAGAATGCTTGAATTCTACTATCTTCTAAAATATATTTACATCATTGCAACACATTTTTTTCTAAGTGCAGTATCTGTAGTTGCCAGTATTTTAAACTTTTGTTGTCTAATTTCCAGTAACAGACATGTATGCTGGAAGTAACATTAAGAGGAAGCTATATGTATTTTTCTCATCATGGCCACATTTAAGCTCACAAAATACACGTTAAAAAGTTTACAGCATGCATGTGCCCATATTCAAGAAGCATGTTCAGCAAGCAGTCACAGACAGCTGAAAAGCTGATTCTCTAGCTTTGGGATTGTGCATAAGGTTGACACCTCTTTGCCCTAATAACTTTCAATGTTGTGAATCTAGTTATTGCAAAATCAAGGAATAATACTTCAGGCAATGTACATATATGTAGTTGAATTGGGGGAATATAGTGTTAAACAGCAGAGTAATGTACAAATTATCAAGAGTACCAAGCTAAACAGAAAACTACAAGTTTTGTGATTTTGGATAATTTATAAAAAGTATGCAGAATATAATGAAATTAATAATAATGCCTTGAAAATTATCTGTGATGTAACATTTTTAACAGAGAAATTTTAGGATACACACATTTGCAAAATAAATCATACTCTGAGCATGGTTTTCGAAACTAAAATAATGCTCTTCAGTGGAGGTGGTTTACAATGTACTAAATGGAAATGGATTTAACTTGTGAAACCAAACAGGCATTAAGCAGTCAAAGTTTAAAAAGTTTAAGTTTAAAAATATACTAAGTAAATGAAATGGAAACAAGTAATGAGAACAAAAACATCTTTAAGCTTTTCATACACACATGACTGAATTTGAAGAAGGATGGGATGGTTTTCGGCTTTCAGACTGCCATAGTATTGTGCATAGGTAAAAAAGTAAATTCAGGAAGCTACCAGATATTCATACAAGTGGTGAATTAAACAGAAGAGCTCTGCTTTATGGAATTATTTAATTTTCTTATCTGAAAAGACATGACATTCTGTTATGATGTACTCTGCACTGAAATAGGTGTATTTAATTTCCATCACCATCTGAGCCTGAGGTAATGTGAACACTCAGGCTTGCAGGTGTTAGTATAGGCTTCTGTTAAGGAAAGTAAAATGTAAAAGAAGTAATCATACCATGGTCCCCTGTTTTCATATTTCCATTTTGAACACTCTGGGTGTTTGAGTAAAATGAACCCTAAAAGAGAGGAAATAATAAGTGGGGGGAAAGTGTTGCATAATGAGGAGTTTTATAATTTATGCTCTTTGCTAAATATTATTAAGGAGATGAAATCATAGAGAATTAGATGATTGGGGCATGTAATATGCATGAGAGTGGTGAGAAGTGCATCCAAAATTTTAGTTTGATACTCGTAATTGTCAACTTCTGAAGAAGGTCTCTACTTCAGGAAGTAGTTAGTTGAAACAGTTTTAAAATAGAAACTGTTGCAATGTGTAGTTAAATTGTACTGATGTTTTTGTTGCAATATATCTAATGTGAATCTCATTTTCATCCAATTTATTAGTTGTTACTGAAAGAGATGAAGTCTCATTACATAACATAAAATAAAAACAGTAAATTGAGATGACTTGCGAATGATCTTGCATGCTTTCCTTACTTTTCCCTGTCCCAAATTATTGAAGCAGCAGAAAATATGGTTTAATCTGGGACTATTCTGGAAGTGCTTGGAAGTATTGCATTGTATGTTAGCAGAATGGTGATTTTATGACCTTGATGAAGGTAAAGAAGAAGCATTTAGTTTCTTTGTGTTGTATGGACGCTACTATAATTTGTACAGTTGTGAAATGAGCAGCACTATTAATAGGTGTGGCTAGTATTCACGGTGTTCAGTTGTTACAGATATATGTTTATTGTTCTAGAAATCCAAGTTCTGGATCAGGATTAAGTGAGACTGGGTCACTTGACCGAGCAAAGGCAGCTCTGGAGAGACGCAAGAAAGCATCCGAAGAGGGGGCACCACAGGCACGTGTTGAAGTGACAAGAGTGAACCCAGACAGCCTCATTGATGAAATCTTGAGATCCACCAATTTAGAACCACAAGATGAATCAGGTACCAGTAGCGTAACGTCATCCTGGAAAGATGGTGGATTTGTTAGTTTACTTAATTGCTTTAATGTCAAGAGAATAATGACATGAAAGCTGCATTGTACATATATACACATCTTGGGCATAGTTTTCTGTCGTTCAGTATAACAGTTCTCACAGTGACCCCAGAAGCACATCTGTTCCTTTATTGTTTAATAATAAAGTTTTGTTAATAACCAAAGCTGAAACAAAAGTATTATGTTATGCCATATTTTTTAAAATTGACCCCTCTCTCAAAACTTGCCTGATTTCTGACTGTAGGATATGAAGTTCAGTATGTTAATACCAAAACATTATGTTGGACATGATACTGAGCCAGTTCCACCCATTTCTGATTGCCACAACTTACTGGCAGGGGACACCGTAGCGTAGTGGTTAAGGCACTATGCTACAAGCCAGAAGGTCGCAGGTTCAAGTCCTGATGGGGTCATTGGATTTTTTCAGTTGACCTTCCTAGCGCACTAGGCCCTGGGGTTTACTCGACCTCTAACAGAAATGAGTACCAGGAATTAATTAAATAATTTTCCTGGGGAGTAAAGCAGGGCCGGCGCGTAAGGCTCATAACCTTACCGCCATCTATGAGCCGATTGTCAAGGTAATGTGGGACCCTCAACGTCTCACAACCATATGGGCCTTCACGGCCTGTTACAGGGTTAGCTTTACTTTTTTTTACTTACTTACAACTTATTGGCATTTCTCTGATCATCTTAATGTTATCCTTACATCATCATCTTTGTTTCTTGTGCTTTATTTTAGTAGCCTATATCACTGATCAGGTCATGGAAAAGCAATAATTGTAAGATCTGTTTCAGTTACTACTTCATATTGTCACAATGTAGTTATGATAATGGGAGAGCTGTCTTTGCGCTTAAGCTCCATATCATGAAGACATTGAAGGAGAGGAGTGGAAGTAAAACTTCACTCATTCTTGACTTTGAGATTAGATGGAGATGAGTGATCCTTCTTATGCTGTGCCTGCTTAACCACTCAGGAAAGAACTCCTATTATTTCCCATTGTATAGGAAGCTGCCTGGGCCCCACAGCTGGTGAAGACATGATGGTAAAGACCAAAATCACTATCCTTCCTGAGAATCAAACTATTCAATCAGCCAAAGTTCTGAAGTAAAATACAGCATCAAATATGTCTGATCCCTTCATGTTTCAGAATGAAATGACCATTCAGAAATGCTATGTTCTGCTGAGCATTCAGTCTTCCTTGCTTTTGTTCAGTAATTATGCTGTGCTATTATATGGTGATCATAAATGAAACGTGGGGTGATGGTATGAATAGCAGTCCTACACTCATTATTCTAAGAATTCTTAGCATTATAATTATTCAGTCAGTTTTTATAGCAGTAACAGTCTAGACTTGTATTTGGGAGGTACCTGGTTCTAATCTTTGATGGGCTACTGGCTAACTGAAGTGAGGTCTCTTTCGGTCTCCCCAGTGCTTGCAGGTAATGTACTTTCAAACAACTCATGACCATCTCCTTTCAGATCCTTTGATGCTCACCATTTATACTCATCTGTATAAACAACAGCACCACAAAATAACCTAAGTAATATTCAGCTTGTTGGAAGTTAGGATGGCTCAGTCAGTGCAGCAACTAGGTTATGGGCTGGATGACTGAGGAGTTGGGGTTCATTTCTCAGTAGAGGCAAGATTTTCTTCTCATTCCCATAACATTCAGATCAGCTTTGGGGCCCACGCATCCTCCCATACACTGGATACCAGGGACTCTTTCCCCAGGGGAAAAAGCTGTAGGGGCGTGAAGCTGACCACTCACCTCCATCTAGTGCCGAGGTTAAGAATGGTGGAGCTATACCTCTACTCCCCCACATCTTCTTGGTATGGTGCTTAATTAATTAATTAATTAAACCCAGTAATAACTTTAGCTTTTTACCTTAATAAGTTGGTTAGCTGTAAAATTCCCACCAACATAATGAGGAACTTCCAAGGGCCTAATGCTCTATGTAGACCACAATCTGAAAATCCCTGAACTATAAGAGTGTAAGTATATCTTCTCTAACTCACTGTGCATGTATTTGAATGGTGTTAATTTTGCCATGTTTGTAAAGAAACAAAAAGATTTTGAGTAAATGAGTGAATGAGAAATTTTTCAGATGTGGGTGACATTAGTGTGATGGAACAATAAGTAAATGTTGGTGAAGAGCTAGAAATAACGAATTGTGGGACAAAATGAAGATCGGTAATGAGGTTCAGTATTTAAGTGTGCTCTTGTTCCCGTCATCTGTACTAGCCAGAATTGACCAGGGAAAGGGGCACTTGTTATATCATCCTAGACATTAATTTATGGAAGCCATGTCCTTGAATAGGAGTTCTAAAAAAATGTGTGATTGCTTTATTCATAAACAAAATTATTCCTGTGCTTGCAGTCTGTTTTAAATGTAATTTTTATGTGGATTTTCAGCATCAGGTCTGCAGCTTTTTATTGCAAAGGATGGTACAACTGCACTGGGCAGCCATGAGGTGAAGAGTCAGATGCCAGCAGGAGTATTTAAGCAAGTGGTCATGGATTCAGAAAACAGGTAACACCCCAGTGGAGAAGTGGGGTGTTAGTTTAGACTGTACAGGATCATGAGAATAAGTATGTGTTGACCAAGACAAAATAAATGGTGGTGTAAAATGTGACATGTTTTGGTGATTGACAGAAACTGAAACAAGACAATAAACACTGTATGCCATTACATGAGGCATTACAGTTAAAAAAAAAAGTGGTTGTCTTTGGTTAATTGTGATTTATATGTTGTGTGATTGATTATTTATGAGCAGTTGTGTGTTAAAGGTCTTTGTTGCCCAGGTCACTTAAGGCATTCAGTTTGATTTTTTGTTGTATGAGCAGGATGCATAGGATTTATGTTTCATTGAAGATGATTGTTACAGATGAATGCTTTCTGAGGTTAGTATCAAGCATTAGAACAGTCACACTTTTGTGTAATGAATCCAGTTTCAGGAAGAAACATTGTTTGTAAAAATTATCCTCCTCCTCCTCTGATTGTTTCATTTTATTTAAATTGAGACACTGTTCTTACTACAAAACCTTTTCTACTCCTCCTCTGTGCTTTGTGTTATATTTTTAGAGCTAGTAATCATATATATATATTAAACCCTTTTATCAAGTCTTCCCCATTTCTCCGTCTATAATCTGGTTGCTAGGTGCCCGTAAGTAGTTTTGTAGTGCAGAAGTGATGTCTTTCTGCTGCTGTTTTGGTGGTAGGAACTGACTAATGAATATATATATGTTATTTATGTCAGCTGCTGTTTAAATGCTTGGCAGCCATTTAATGCATAAATTGATCCCTCAGCATTGTCATGGTGGCAAACAGTAGAACAGTTGTCAACAGGAGTGTATATTTATAAGTTTATCATAATGAATAAACAATTTCACTATTTCAGTAAAGTTCACTTCAAGAAAGCCCTAGGCAAAAAGTGGGCGTTTTTGCTTATTTGGTAATATAAACAGGAGTGAAGCTGGAGTACCTGTGTGGGCAATAATTCCTTTAGCATGTAAATACCATTCCTATTACCTTCCAACATTGAAGAGGCAGCAGAATAATTGGACTGATAGAAACTGAGCTTTGAAAAATAATATAAAAGTATATATTTTATAGGATATACATTTGATTACATGTAACAGACAACAAATTTTAAAAGAAATATATATTGATAAGTTATTGGAACAAGGATAAATATTTGTTTACTTGATTCCATAAGTGAAATCAAATTGTTACATTAATTGTATTAAACCTAAATTGTTGTTAAAATAATCAAAAAGTGTTTGCTTTGGTTCATTATTTGTTTTAATGATAGTGACCCTATAGGTCTAAGATAACAAATATTACATTAGACATGATTATTCTCTGATACTGTTGTGATTAAAAATGGTCTTGCCTTCATGGAGCTGGTTTCTGTTTCTTTTTATCTTATAAGTTTGCATATTCAGGAGTCTGGAGATATATAGAATTATGGCAGTTTAAATTCAAACTACAGTGTTCAGTATTCCTTCTTTCATTGCACTTTGAGGTGTAGCTGTTTGTGTGATATTTGTTTTCAATATTTCAGTTGTGCACATTAGGTTGCTTACATTTTACTATCTTCTGTAAGTTTCAGTCAGGCCTATGTAATGGTGTATTCTGTGGAACTTGAGGTATGAATATTGTCTGTATGTAAGAAGCAGTTATATGTAGCTATTAATTATTGTCCATTATTTATCGTCTTGTCAATATTGCAACACTCTTCCATTCACCACTCAGCTTTTAGTTTAACCTTATACGCCTTGATACTACATGTTTTGGCCCCAAATGGCCATCTTCAGGTGTCTTGATATGCTACAATTATTTTATTAAATTGTGTTAAAACTGCCACACTGTCTTAGTTTGTGTTAAAATCACACGCTGTAGTCCTCTTTTCAAGGTAAAACCAGATAGAATCCTTTAAAATTTCTATTATACCCACGTTATTTTGGTGCATATTGTTTCGCCTCACACGCGGTGTCATCCATTTTCATAAATGTATGTGTGTCCAGGGTGTTTTGTCTCGGCAGCTTGTCCCTCATGTTCATAACCTACTTTTCAGTTATGACTGCCATATGCCCCTGGTTTGCGTGTTTCCTCCACAGCGTGTGGTGTTATCTTTACTAGTTTCCTCCACAGAGTGTGGTGTTTTCATTACTAGTAAAGACAACACCACACTCTGTGGAGGAAGCACACAAACCAGGAGCATGTGGCAGCCATAACTGAAAAGTAGGCTACGAACGTTAGGAGCTGCAGAAACAAAACACCCTGGACAGACATACATTTATGAAAAATGAAGTGAAACAATATGCACCAAAATAACGTGGGTATAATAGAAACTTAAAAGGATTCTATCTGGTTTTACCTTGAAAAGAGGACTACAGCGTGTGATTTTAACACGAACTAAAACAGTGTGGCAGTTTTAACACAATTTAATAAAATAATTGTAACATATCAAAGACACCTGAAGATGGCCGTTTGTGGCCAAAACATGTAGTGTCAAGGTGTATAATGTTAAACTAAAAATTGAGTGGTGAATGGAAGAGTGTTGCAATATTGGCGGACGTTAAGTTGAACAATTGCAATGGGATGCCGAAATACAGAATCAATTTTAATTATATTTTGCTTGTACATTCTGGCTATTAGCTTTTGTCATAAGAACAGTTGATAAATGTCATATATATTGTGTCATAAAAATATTAAGTCTTCTGTATCAAGTTACATATACAGCTAAAAATTCCACATCAGTGGTTTGCTGTGCTTTTAAGATTAAATTTGCATTCATTCAAATTTTATAATGTCACTGGTAACCTTTACTTTCACATATAATATGAAAATGACTAATGCAAGGAACACATTCCTATTTAAAGTAAAACTTGACAACTTTGTGTCTATATATAATATATACAAAGCAAATAGCTGGGATAGAATTGTCTACTTAAGCACAGAGATAAAACCCAAGCACTAAATATTTAATCTAAAGAGCATCTTGTTTACTTGAATTAGCCCATGCATAATTAAAAATAAAGCATTTTGATTGCAAACCACGTTCGAGTTTTTGTAGATGAGCCATATTATGTTAGAAGAATATGAACAAACCGAACAGCAATAATTTTATTGTCAAGAATGTATAATCAATGGCTGCCATGTGTAGTCAGTGTATAATGATCCTGCTAGATGCTATTGGAAAATTATTTCCTGTATGTGAATTGCATGTTGCTTTTATCATTTTAATAATTTATTAGGTGAACTCCAAAATGATAACTTATCATAAATTTAATTACATACCAATAAATGGTAGTAAGTGGTGCTTTACTGAAGAGGATTGTACAGCAAATTAACTAAGCTCCAGCTGTGAAACTCAGAGTGTGAAGACACCACTGAACTCTTTTTTTAATCAGTTGAACATTTGCTTTAAGTCATTTGTACACAAACTTCAAAAGCCTTCTGCTGGGTTTATAACCAGCTTCTCCCTCAGCAGCTGTTGCACTCTTGTGACAGTGGATGCATGGGTCCAGCAGGCTTAGCATCACATTGTTTCCATACAAGTAACATTATCCCAAGTCAGAATCCAGCTGACATCATCATAGTGCTCTTTTATAATAATTGTTAATCAGTTCATATATGTTGACAGTCTCCACTGTGTCCTGTGAATTTTGTGAAAATTTCCTATACGTGTTCTCATCTTTGTCAGTTCTGCAGTAAAAGTGACATCATCTTTGACTTATAAAATGAATTTTTTTAAGAAAGCTGTAGTAAGGTAAAATTTGTAGAAGTAGAAATGGAAACTTACCAAAGCAGGGAATCACAGAGACATCAGTAAAAGGAAAATTTTGTATTTCAGTCTTTTCAGTAAAGTAAGTTTTCTTCCTTTCCTATATCATCTGAATTAAATTTTTCTTTATTTATAAAAATAGGACCTGTTCAGAAATGAGTAGGCATAAAAGGGATGTTTTCATTCCATATATGTAAATACTTACAAATTACATTTCTCTTTAGATATTGGCAGTTGTCTTCCTTCCCTACAGTTTAACATGATAGTGTGATACGACTTTTTTATTTTGCTTATAATACCATGTTAGTTGAACTGCCCATTAAAAGAACTTTAAAATATTTCACATAGTGCTAGGGTAACTTTCCAAATATAGTAAACTTTCTGTTATTAGGGTTGATGAAGGGAAAGGGAGTACCAGGAATAGAAAAACACAAGTGAAAAATACATGCATGTTTAAGAACAAAATCCTGACTGATACGTATTTCAACCATCCTTACTTATTGGTTATGTATTGTAGAGAACTCTTTTTTTCATATTATCTTTGCTTGTTTTGACAACATTTTCTTCTCTTTTTTTCAGTATAGGTGGTAACAATGCTTTAAATCTTCATCTGTAATCATTATTTCTCTGTTCATACTTCTTTGTGGCTGTGGCACTAGATAAGAAATATAGTGACAGTACTATCTTACACAGTTTTAGTTTGCTTCTTCCCCTTGCTGGAAACTAGAAGGTTGTGATTTCAATAGCACATAATTGTACTATCCCCATAGAGGACTTGTGGTCTGCAGTATGGGTTTGTTGCATATAATATAGGAGTCATATCTATAAGCCTTCCCTATAATGTCATTCTTTTTTATAAGTCTGTTAAGATTTCCAGGGTATATCTTCAGTTTACTTGGAACAGGCAACAAACATCAGGTAGCTAAAATATTATTCCTATGGCATTCTGTCTATATAGCAGCTGCCTTTCTTTGTATAATGTAACACATTTATGAAGTGGCATGCAAAATGTTTGTGGATAAATCAGTGAAAGTACAGAATTTGATGTTCTGAGTGTGAATTCATTACATTTTGCATTACTTTCCTGAGAAATTGTAATGTATTGGTATTGCTTTCTTCTTCTGATGGTGACAGGTTTATATGAAACATGTACCAGAGTTTAAATATTTATGGTATTTGCCTTGTGTAAGTAAGCTGACTCTGATATGAATGATAGAACTGTACATCACATTTGAACACAATCCATTTTCATATACCTCAGATATCTACCCTTCTGCAACAATGCATTGATTGATAGTTCATCAGTGGTCTTAATAATGTGTTCAGTGCAGTCAGAAAACTCTTGTATGCTGGATGCTGTGTTAAAGTGTGTTAAAATAAGCAACATATAATATAATTTACAAAATCAGTCTTTTAAATGTCAAGTAACTCCCTCAGTGCTGATTTGACTTTTGTTTATAGTAATCATCACTATTTCCAGTAATAGACCTGTTAAGAGACCAGTTATGAATATTATAAAGCAGAATCCTTCCATTGTTTCTACGGTCTTCCAAAACTTCTTTTTCCTCTTGGTTGGTTCTTTTGGTTTGGTTTGGTCATGGTTATGTGGGAAGGAGTGTATCTTACAGTTCTCATGAAACACACATCTGATGATATCAGACTTCTCTTATCAGCTCTTCCTGTTGTCCATGATTCACTACCTACCATAAGGTAATATTGGTTTAACAAGTGTCTTATAAATATGTATTGCTGTATGCCTAGAAACTAATGATAATTTGAAAATGTTTTTAGAATATGCTATATACCAAATACTTAAAATTGTTGATTTGTTCCAATAAAAGCCATTCATTCCATGGAAAATTCTGTGGCTATATTATTCAAATTGTATGATGAGTACTGTAGGTCATGTTGACATTTGACCAGAAGGACCCGACTATTTCAAAATGTCATAGTTTTGGCATTTTTAGAATTTTTTCTAATTGAGATGTTTCGATGCCTGGATGATCTCCCAGTTCTTCATTATTTTGTTGATGTATGTGATGAATAATAATGGTGAGAG